TTTTTGTGGAACCAGGGATTGGACTCAGGCCCTTGCGCTTGCCAGGGAAGCGCTTATTCCACTGCGCCATCTCCCCATCCCTGTAATTTATATTTTATGTGCTTGTATTTCTTTCCTAGAATCCGCTCAGAAATAGCTTTTTTATGAACTTTTACCAAATGATCACACATTACTAAGCAGACAGTATTTATTTCCCAGAAGTCAAGTCTAACAGTTAAAAAAATAAATAAAATTAAAATTAAAAATTAAAACAAAAAAAGATTCAGACAGCTTGCACTTGTTCTACTGGCATGGCTTTTGCTAGTTGTGTGACTCTTGGTGGTTCATTAAAACCTTGTTTAGGGGCTGGGGAGACGGCTCAGTAGAATATGTGCTTGCCTGGCAAACGCAAGGGCCTGAGTTCAGTCCCTGGTTCCACCAAAAAAACAAAAACAAAAAACTATTTGGCTCAGTTTATTCCTTAATTGGAGTCATCTGTTCCACTCAGTGTAATTTCTGCACACCAAAAAAAAAGAAAAAAAAAAAAAAAAGAAAAGAAAAAATTCCAGCTAGCTCATGAATGCACTATTATTTTCAATAACAATATATTAGGGGCTGTTGAGATGGCTCAGTGGTCTACAGCACCTACTTAGAACAAGCTAAGCTAAGCAAAGCACAGGGACCGCGGTTCAATCCCCCAGCACCACATATCAGCCATCCCCGCCCCCTGGTGGACTGAGCTGGCCACACACACAAAATAAATGAATAAATAAATAATAAAAAAATAAATTAAAAAAAACCAATATATTAAAACCACAAACTCATCTGCACTTACCCAAATGAATAGACAGCGCTAGGTTTCCTCATCATCACCCAGTAACTTATTAAACATGTTATTAAACTGAGTGAAAAGAAAAAATAAATTAGCATTAGAATTAGAGCTAGAACACACTGAGACAGTTTTCAGAATTCCTAAATTGCTGAAAGTTAATAGTCATTAGTATTTCTATAAATTCTGATCTGGGGAGATGGCTCAGTGGAATAAGTGCTTCCCTGGCAAGTGCAAGGGTCTGAGCTCAATCCTCGGTTCCACCAAAAACAAAAACAAAAAAGTATTTCTATAAATTCTAATAACTTATAACCTAAACAGTTTTAGCATGTGAAGAAATTGTAATTATAATTCACTAATAAGTTAGTCAAATAGCATCAAAACTCATACTTTCTCAAAGTTAAATGGTTTCTATAACTGAGAATAATTTTTAAAAGATACAATGGTAATATATTTTATTCTAACATATACAATAAATTTTAGGGGCTGGAGAGATGGCTCAGTGGTCTAAAGCACCTACTTAGAACAAGCTTAGCAAAAGCATCAGGGACAGCGGTTCGATCCCCCAGCACCACATGCCAGCCAGTCGCGCCCCCTGGTGGGCTGAGCTGGTAACACACACACACACACACACACACACACACACACACTAAATAAATGTTAAAAAAAATTTAAAAAAAAACAATAAATTTTAATACTGATCATCTTTAATTTTTGTGAAAATGTAAACTTAAATACTAATAACATCTTAACCTTTTCTCTTTAGTACTGGGAACTGAACCCAGAGCCTACATACTGTGCTATATATTGTCAACACTTTTTATTTTAAGATAGTCTCACTACATCACTGAGTTTACCCAAGATGGGTTTGAACTTGCCATCCTCCCATTAGCTTCCGAGGGATGCACCACCACACTTGGCTGGATTTTATAAAAACACATCAATCTTCCAAGAGTAATGGCAGTTCACTCAAAGACAACTTTGTATAGTATGAAATTCACTAACAAGTATCTATCTGTCTTACAAGTTTACTTACCACGTTAATGAGGACATCCTTAATAACAGTCTTCATTTTTATTAGTACATGATTTTTTTTTTTTTTTTTTTTTTTTGGCAGAACCAGGAATTGAACTCAGGCCCTTGCGCTTGTGAGGGAAGTGCTTATTCTACTGAGCCATCTCCCTGGCCCAGTACATGATTACAGTACGTAACAATTACATTCCATGTGGACTTTGTATGTGTACATGATACATCTCATTTCTGTTTTCATCCTCTTCTCTTTACCTCTCTGACCATCTCTCTTGTTTTCCTGTCCATTTACAAAAGATCTACCTTCCTATTTCCTATTATCTGTATAGGCAGGATCTTATTATGCTGTCCAGGCTGGCCTTAAACTCCTAGGCTCAAGTGATGTCCTGTCTTAGCTAAGATATCAACATGTAAGTATGTATTTTGCATCCTTATATGAAAATATGAAAGTGTCCATGGAGCAGAGAGCCAATAGGCTATCTCCCCAGCTTACACTTTCTCATTTCTTAGTTACTAACTGTCCCCTCACACATGCACACACCCCGCCTGCACACTTAGTATTACAGTTGTATGTTCTGAAACCACCCTGTTCTGAAGCATGACTCAGTGTCAGGTAGGCACCTAAAACACTTAACATAAACTGGGCAAAAATCCTCATTTAAAAAATTTGGAATTGGAACCAAGGTATTCTAGGCTTAGTTTGACTGTTTTCTTAGACAGTAAAAATGCAAATGTGAAAGCTGGGAACAATCCCTGGACTTGGGAAGAAAGAAATCTGATTTACATGGAAGAAATGTAAGAAAGCCCATGCAAAAGATGGCCATGGATGAGATGGATGGATTCCTACAGCGTTCTTGTCCTGTGGCCTAGCTAAATTTGTGCCTTCAGATTCCATGAAACATCCCTGAATTCCCCAAGACAGCTCTAATGGAAGTCTGACAGTTACTTTACATTCACCATGACAAAGTTTTTACTGTCTGCTAACCTCACTTCAAATTCAAACGCAGTAGCAAAATTTAGATTTACACAGAAGCCATGTTAAAAATCTACTTGGTCCTGAATGACTAGATGATTTTTCAAATTATTTTTCTTTCTTTCTTCTTTTTTTTTCTGTAGTACCGGGGATCAAACTCAGGACCTTGTCCTTGCCAGGCAGGCACTTATGTCACTGAGCCATCTTCTGGCCCAGACTAGATGATTTTTGTATTCCTGGCAAATGCATATGAGAATCCTCAGGGCCAGTCCAAACTATATAGTAAGATCCTCTTTCAAAAGTCCAAAAATAAATTAATAAGTAAGTAAAAATAATAACTGTTGGCAAGGATGTAGAAAAATTCAGAGTCTGATAAAGTACTGAAGGCAAAGAAAAATGATGTAGGCACTTTGGTAAACAGTGCAGTGGTTCTTTCAGTGGATAATCATATGATCTTGCAATTTCACGCCCAGGTGTATATGTAAGAGAAATGAAAACATTTGTCTAAACAAAAACTTATACACAAATATTCACAGCACCATTTTTTAGCAGCCAAAGACTGGAGACAATGCCAAATGTCCATTAACTGATGAGCAGATAAATAAAATGTGGTATAGCAATATACTTCCACAATTAATAAAAAAAGCTACTGAAACGTGCTACAGCAAAATGGCAAAAACTGTGCTCAAAAGACAGTCACACAGGACCACATATTGAACTTCCATATACATGAAAGATTCAGAATAGACAAATTTATTTATTTACTTATTTTTTTCGCGGAACCAGGGATTGAACTCAGGCTCTTACGTTTGCCAGGGAAACGCTTATTCCACTGAGCCATCTCCCTGGCCCAAGAATAGACAAATTTAAAGAGCAGAAAAATAGAAGAGTGATTTCCTTCAGCCAGGGTTGAGAAAGGAATAATTAGGGAGTAATGGCTAAAAGTGAATGAGCTATTTTTTGAGCTAATGAAAATATTAAAAATTTGACCATCATGATATATGTATGACTCTACAAATATACAATGTATTATTGAAATGTATGTGAATTAAATCAGTAAAGTCATTTTTCTTTATTTTTTGGTCTTCATAGCTGGGGAGATGGCTCAGTGGAATAAGCATTCCCTGGCAAGGGCAAGGGTCTGAGTTCAAACTCTGGTTCCACAAAAAACCTAAAAAACTTTATTTTTTGGTCTTCAGCCTCTTTTTTTTCTTTCATGGTGGTAATAGGGATCAAATTCAGGACCCTGCATTTGCCAGGCACTTATTCCACTGAGCTATCTCCCCAGCTCTCCTTTGGAATCTTTTTTTTTTTTTTTTTTTGGCAGAACCAGGGATTGAACTCAGTCCTTTGAGCTTGCCAGGGAAGCACTTATTCCACTGAGCCATCTCCCTGGCTCTCCTTCTTTGGAATCTTGGGACAGGGTTTTTCTTTTTCTTTTTTCTTTTTTATTTATTTATTTATTTGTGTGTGTGTGTGTGTGTGGCCAGCTCAGCCCACCAGGAGGCGGGGCTGGCTGGCATGTGGTGCTGGGGGATTGAACCCCATGATCCCTGTGCTTTGCTAAGCTTGTTCTAAGTAGGTGCTTTAGACCACTGAGCCATCTCACCAGCCCCTGGGACAGGGTTTTTCTATGCAGTACAGGCTGGCCTTGAGCTCTCAGAGATCTTCCTGCCTAAGCTTCCCCAGTGCTGGGGCTGCAAGCTTGGGGCACCACGCCCAGCAGTAAAATAATTTTTTTTTTCTTTCAGAACCAGGGATTGAACTCAGGCCCTTGCGCTTGCCAGGGAAGCGCTTATTCTACTGAGCCATCTCCGCAGCCTCAGTAAAGCAATTTTTTTCAAAAATACAAAAAGCACCACAATTTCCCCAACACCCTCAACACAAGCATAGTCTTAAATGTTTTATTATTTGAGTTTTTCTTTTCTTTAGACAGGGTCTCACTCTGTAGTACATGCTGGCCTCAAACTTTCAGTCCTTTTCTCTCTCTCCCAAATGTTGGGATTACAGGCCACCATTCCTGGCTATTTTTTTTTTTTTTTTTCTTTTTGAGGTAAGATCTTATTATGCAGATCATGCCAAACTTGAACACTATGTAGTCTAGGCTGGCCTTGACCTTGTGGAAATTCTCATGCCTCAGCTTCCTGAGTGCTGGAATTACAGACATGTGCCACTTCACCTGGCTCTTAATTTGTAAGTACCTTATGTTTAGTACAGGGTCTACAGGGTCTCACTACACAGATCCATCTCCTAGTGATTCTCCTGTTTTCAGCTTCCCAAGTGCTAGGATTACAGGTGTGCAGCACCATGCCAATCTCAATCACTATCTCAGTGCGCCCCAGGGGTGGGGATAGCACAGCATGCCCGGGATTGAATCCCGGCCACTACATCTGCCTAAGCAGGCGCTTTAATCCACTAAGCTATCTGGTTGGCCCTGTATTTTAAATATTAGGAAAATTAGTCTTTTGGTTGAGACATATCTTGTTAGGCTGTTGTTTATGGTGATATTTGCTACCTAATTTTTTCTATTTTTTTTTGGTCTGAATGCCTTCAGGGCAGGTTTGGCTGGCTTGAGTTGTGGGGATTGAACCACAGCAATGTGAGTCTGCTTTGTTGAAGTAGCCTCTTAAAGAACTGAGCTAAGGGGCAGATCCCCTTTTCTATTTTTAATATAGTTGAATTTATCATTTTTTTAATGACTTCTGAGAATTATACCATCTTTCCCACAGTATCACATGCTAAATTCTCCTGAGTGTTTAGGTCTATTATTAAACCTTTTATTCTGTTCCTTTCTTTTAACTACAGTATTCCTCCTTTACCTGGTGGGATATGTTCTAAGACCCCCACTGAATGCCTGAAACTAGGGATGGTACCAAACTCTACAGCATATATTGTTTTTTTCTATATGTACATACTTGTGATGAAGTTTAACTTTCAGGTTAGATATAATAAGGGGTTAACAATGTGTTAAAAACAGAATGTAATAATATATTAAAAAAAAGTTATGTGACTGTGGTCTTCCTATGTTGATGTCTTCCTGTACTGTACTCACTCTTCTTGCGCTGATATGAGATTATACAGGGCCTGTACCATGAGATGAAGTGAGGCAAGCGACACAGGCATGTTACGTAGCCTTATGCTACTTGAACACAAGCACAGGCATATCAAAACAGAGAGCTGATCTGGTAGCTGAGAGCTGCTCACTCATTAATGGATGTTTATGCAGCACAAATACACTGGACAAGGGGATGCTTATGTGGTGGGCTAGATGGAGCAGCACAGGCCCAGATTACATCATACTATTCAGAAAGGGATACAATTTGACATTTATGAATTGTTTATTTCTGGAAATTTCCACTTAATATTTTTGGATTGCTGTAGGCTCTAGATAAGAACTGTAGAAAGAAAACTGTAAGTGGGAACTACTAAAAATATTCAAATGAGATTGTCTGGTTGTCTGGGTTGATTTTTGTTTAGTGTATTTGGTACAGGACCTCACTACACAGCTTGGACTCATAGTGATCCTCCTGTTTTCAGCATCCCCAGTGTTGGGATTACAGGTGGGTGCCAACATGCCTGGTCTTTGTCTGAGCCGATTAACTTTGGGAGAATTGACCTTTCTGTGATCCTAAGTATTCCTATGTAAGCATATACATTTAACCTCTCTATCTTCTTCCAAGTACTTCTTTTTCTGTGTCTCAGAATCATTCTGAAGTTTTCTTATGCACAGGCATTTATCTTTTTGGTTCTGATGGACATAGGACCTTTTTCTCATTATGTCTCCAGCTATTTGTGTACATGTTTTGTGCTGTCAATTTTATTCAGCAAATTGTTTTTCTTTAAGAAAAGAAAATTTCAGGATTTAGTATAATAAATCCTTATTGGCTCTAAGACAGTAAGGAGATTTTCAAAACCTTACCTGAAAAGATCAAAAATGGTCAAGTAAGTATACGCAGTTAAAGCTGCAAAACAGCAAAAAGATTAAAAGTTATTTCATCTAGTCTTAACAAAATACGGCAAATCATCAAAACTGCTCACATAAGGGGCTATCTATTGCTAAAAAAATCTACAGTCCATAACCAAACTCATACATTGCATTTATCTATAAATTTATTTTACACATGTAGCCAATGTTGGTTACTACAAAAGTCCACTTTAGAATCTTGATTTCTGCACTGGGAAAAAAAAAAAAAAAAAAAATCAAGCAAATGTTCAAAAGTCATGTGATCAAGTTTTTGCCTATTCTGTCATCTCAGTACCACCTAACATGTATCTCCTAAATACTAACGGGTAACAAATAATGATACATCAGAACATCAATGGTGAAGACACAAATAAAAGAATTATAGAATTTCTTTGTTAAGGAAAAGCCAAGAAACCTTAACAATCTCACTTATAAACTGTATAAATTAGTTTTAATCTGTCACACTAAAAAGACATTAAGCAAAGCCGGATATGGGGGCCAAGGGGCTAGCTCAGCCATCTAAATGCCTGCCTGGCAAGCGCAAGGTCCTGGGTTCAATCCCAGGTACCACATGCCGTGCCAACCAAAACCGGGTATGGTAGTGCATGCCTGTAATCCAAGCAATGGGAAGGCTCAGACAGGAGGATCACTATGAGTCTGAGCTGCGTAGCTAGTCCCTGTGGGGGGTGGGGGGGGGAACAACTTAAAAAAAAGCAGGTTGTGGTGGCACATGCCTGTAACCAACAGTCGAGAGGCTGAGGCAGAAGGATCCTTGCATGTTTGAGACTAGTGTGGGCTACAAAGTGAGCTCAAGGCCTGCTTGAACTGCATAGTAAGACTCTGTCTCAACAAAAGAAAAAAAAGAAAAGAAAGACATCTCAATTTCACAAGTGAATTGATAGTTTTTCTTTTAAATAGCAATTTATTAAAAATGGTAAAATTATTTTTAAAAAACAAACTATAGCTTATAGGG